GATGTCATCATTGCTCCAACAGTGGCTTCTGGCGCTGCCTGAACCTGCTCCACTCCTGCTGCCTCCGTAGCCTCTGGAAACGTTCAGCCTCATCCTCGTGTCTTATAGCCCTCTCGCCCCCGGATGGTAAAGCTTGATGCGTGATCGGTATCCTAAGTGATTCTGATCTTGTCACCCTTCTTCCTTCAGATCTCTCCTCCCCACTACCTTGTCCGCTCATCAGCCAGGCAGATGACTATCTGCACTAGTGCCCTCTCTGGGGCCTATCACAACATACGTCTAACCGATTTGAAAAATAAATAAGAATAAAATAAATATTCGGCAAGTCACCTAGGCTACCGATCAAGTGGTGTCAATGACATTTACACAGACAGAGCAAATGATCTATTCGTACTTCGATCAGTTCTCTCATAGCAGCAACAAACAAAGCTAGCTATGGTAGTATACTATAGTTCTATTCTATAGGTGTCTGTTAGGTGTGAGCATTTTGTCCACCATAACTAATCAAAACTAAAAAATCAATTGCACAAATGTATGCAGAAATGGAAAACAATAGTGTTTGTGTACGAGCACCAATTGGAACCTTCCCTTCCCCTATATCCGACGATCCTGACTTGCATCATCAAGCAGCGGTGTCTAAGGTGTGCATATCGGCCCACTCGTGTGCCCAGGAATCCATTTATGACCAGTTTTGTCCTTTTGTTTACCATCACGTGCAACGAGCCTTACATCCGATGATCTGGCTGATTAAGAGGCAATTTAAGGACAGCCCCCGAAGTCCTCAGGAAGCAGACAGGACGACGATCACAGCCATATATCAGATCCCCCCAGAGGTTCTTTATAGACGGTCTGGAAACACGTCTCGCATAGGACTGGTCAGTCCACGTTCCCTCTACAGTGCAGCAAAGAGCTCAAAGGACAATGCAGCATGGCCTGCATGCACTACTCCCGTGGGTTGGCATGGTGACCGTGACCTTTGCTTCGTCCAGGGCCCTTCAGAGGCACCGCCCTCTCCTGCCAGATTCCACACCAGGAATATTGTCGACTCTCAAGGTAGAGCGCTCGACTCCTGACCAAGAAGAGGACTCTCAAGTCGAACTCACTTCTTCACGGTAAGAAGAGATTGAGATGGGAAGATAAGGTAAGAGGACAACGTACCTGAAGATAGCTGCCCCCAACCACAGATTTCTCACCACTTGAGCCGACGTGCATTTCGATGATCGGTCATAGCCTTGGTACCACTCACAATGCAATGCAGTGCGACCTCAGCCAAAATGCCATGTCAGCATGTCCATTGTCGCCACAGCTCCCACGCTGTTGCCATAGCCTTCCTGCCCAACTCCCCTCTACCTGGGAGTGGCTATACAAGCCAGCGCCAATGTGTCCCCACTGAGTAGAAGCTTCGTCAGCGCACCGAGTAACAAAGTCACCAGCGCCGGTAACGGCGATATCAAACCAGCTCCGATAACAAATTGCAAGAAATATGAGCGGGACCGATAGACAGAAATCCAGATTGCAAAATCATGAACGAGTCCAGATAGTGATGTACCAAGCAGAGAGCACAATGCATCAAGACACCATCCTAGTAAGAGCAATACAATGAACTTGTGTGCCAATGTCGACACTCTCTGTTCACACCAACACAGTATCCAATGTCGCACCTACTGTCTGGTGCCCCGCACCAGCCTACACTACTCAGCCTATTTACTCCTATCTACGTTCATGCAACTGGATCACATCGAAGTTGAAGACCATTGTACGTGATGTCATCACCAATGCAGACCACCAGCATACACCAGGTACGTTCTCTCTCCTCCCCTCATCCCACCTTGACTCCCCTCTGCATGCGCCTGCTACCGAAGACCACCATCGCCATCACCTGCACCCGCACGCTCAGCCCGGCTATGGCCGTCGTGCGCCCTGCTGCCACCTCAGCGCCCTCTCACCTCTTGCGCCGGCGTGCGCCCTGGCCTGCCTGCTTAGCGCAGATTCGCATGGCGTAGCAGCAGCATGGCCGCATTGCCTGCTCAGGCCAGAATGCCGCTGTCTGGGAAGGGCACTTCCTTTATGGAAAGTGTGGCCCTGTGTATGGCCGCGTGGGCCTGGATGGGGAAGTTTCCAGTAGCTTCCAGTCGGGCCACAGTGTTTGTGCCCAGGCCCACCTCTGCTGTTACGAGCCTGGGCCCTCTACAGTTGGGCACGTCCAGGCTCCAAGTGTTTGGCTCGCGGAGGCTGTCTGACGACAATGCTGCTTTCTCATTGGTCTGCGCCCTCCGCGTGATGTGTCGGCCTCCCACTGTGTGTGCCCAGGGCGCAACCAACCGGGGCCCTGGGCTCAACTGTGCAGCGCAGCTGTTGCTTCGGGAAGGAGCCAGGAAAGGCTCACGTTGCTTTGTTACCAACTCGCGTGCTGCAACTGTCTGATACCCCACATATGGAAAATGTCGAAAAGAGGCCTCACTTGGATATTCAGGCCCGCCTTCACTTCGGGCGGGCGCGAGGCTTGCTGGGGGCCGCAGCCCAGAACACTTGTATTTCTGATAAGGGCCCCGCGAAAGCTCATTCCTTGCAAAGGGAACAAGTGGGAAACAAATACGGAAAAAAGAAAAAGGACAGACAAGGCATCCTAATGAAGGGCAAACGGAGGTGTAAGCCAGCCACGAAGGCAATTCCCAAAATAGGACTGGAAAAGGCTGTACTGACACAAGGAATTGAGGAACACACACAAGCCCCCTGGGTAAGTCTAGAAACAACCAGCAGGGAAAGTAGGGCAGGTCGGAAGAAAACGCCTGAATTAGAGTAGTTGACCAGCAAAACGTTAAGTTTCAAAAGCCCAGATAGGGAGGGAGAGAGGGAGGGTTTATAGTTTAGTGATTAGGGTGTAGGGTTTAGGGTTTAGAGACTAGGTTTTATAGAATGCAGATAGTACTAGGTATATACAAGATAGCTACACTGCCTAATACACTGTAGAGAAGCGACAGAGTACTGGGCTAGGGCAGATCTCTGGAATTCCCTGTTCTCGACTCCCCTTCCTGAACACCCCATCCAACTCCTCCTATGGACTAATATCCCTGCCCAATTCCACAAGACAGAGAGGACCTAGTTTGGAATGATCAGGAAAGTAACACTGTGGTCCATCTGGAAGGAAAGGTGTTCTAGAACCATTGAGGGTCCAACTCCAAGGGAGAAAGTGTGGGCGGAGACAAGGTATGCAAGTGGCACAAAACCAGACTTTCTTTGCCAGATGACGTGGACCAACAGCAGAGAATTCTAGCACAATTCACCAAGGTTTGGATGGCAGGCGGCAAAGTGGCAGAGTTAAAGGACTCCCGCATGTGGTGAAAGGACTGGCACAATTCGGAAGTGGGATGGAGAAGGTTGAGATGTCAGCCAACAGATGGAAAAGTCCCTCCACAGGCTACATAGTCTTCAAGGCATTGCCTCAGCTTCCTATCTTTCTTGTTTTCTCAGGCAAATTTGGCAGGTTCTGACAGTGGACCTGAGAGGAAAGGTAGATGAAAGGCAAGCTGACAGTCAATCCTCCCGTGTCGGCAATCAATGCTGGTCATCCTTCGGCCAGACGGAAGGAAGCGTGAGGGTGTTCATGATGTAGTACTTCATTCCCACCCTCTAAGGAGGGAACTGACTACTTTTTAGACCCCTACAGATCCTGTCATTTGTCGGTATCCCCTCTACAAGCCCCTCTGACTCTACGGTCGCTACCCCCTACCCACGGAATCCCTAACCGGTCGCCCATCTGTGGCAGGAGACCACCCCACAGATGCCTGATATTACCAGTATGCTTTCTATGGGCACTCTTCTAATTTTTCCACACACTGTCTGACGACGACCAGCTAGCTAGGTGTTCCTGGCTTCCTGGCATGCGTGGACACAGGTGCGCCTGCTGGTCATCAGGCGGACTCTAGGCAGTTCCCTACCCTTTCTACCTTGATGTGATTCCCTCCCTCCCTTTCGGCAACCTAAAGTAGACCTAGAGTCCTTGGCTTAGCAAGCCATCCATTCCATCTAGTGATTAACCTCGTGAGTCGATCTGTGAAGCGCAGCCCTCAGGCTTCGTAAGATAAACTTGAAGCATATCCCTTGGGTATCATAAGTGCCTTTCCTCCTTCCAACCCCCTGTACCCCCTCCCAAACACACACACACACACACAGCCACTGGAAGACCAAAGGTTCTTGCACTTTTCCTTTGTTGTATTCTCTACTGCATGCATGTGAGTTGATATCTCTCCATAGTGGCTGTAAGTCATGTATAAGCATGAGTCATAAAGAATGTGTAGTCCATGGATGTAAAGAATCCCTCAGCCACCCCGGCTATAAGTGGGGCCCCAATCTGGCATGCCCTAGGCCTGGGGAGGTGTGTCCCGTGTCTCAAATCCACTGACGGCAGGTGACTAGGGCCGGGCAGGAAGGACCCCACCTACACGTTCTGGTCTGGGGCGAGTGTGTTTGGTCTGAAAAAAAAAAGAAAAAAAATCTAAAAAGAATCCCTCAGCCACTTGACAGTCGATTTTTCTCCATGATGGCTGCTAACGCTCAGTCCTTTGGGACATTTGTTAAAACAGGAATGATGCAGAGAGGATTAGCATGGCCCATTGACCCCTGTGCACGCATCAGGCACACAAATGGTCCCGAAGAAAAAAGAAGGTACCAGCCGGCCTAGCTCAGTTGTACACCCACAAACTGTTGAAACACAGACCTGAGTTCGAATTGCAAAGGAATCAGATGAGTGAAAACGATTCTGAATTTACCTGGGGCCGGTCACGGCCGTCACCCTTTCAAAATAATAAAAAGAAAAGACAAAAAGAGAAAAACAAAAGGTTTTGGTCAAGGTGCAAACATGCAAACAATCATGCAGTTTGGAACTGCATTGAAAGAAGTTCAAAGAACAGCATATCCATCGCAATCGGCACCTCAACCATTGATGAAGCACATGAATTAAAGCGATTAGGGGACATGGGGTTGGATGCATGGGTGCTGACCTATTGCCTGAGCAGGACCTGCCACCAATGAGGAGACTGTTGCAACAATTGCTGTCCCGGCGGTCAAAACGTTCCTTCGTGAAATCCATGCTGCAGGTCAATCACAGAGTAGTCATACTGTTTATTTATAATCCAAATTTCCATTCCAGCTAATGGTACACAAGCTACAAGCATTGTTTCTGGTTCAAGAAAGTGGCAAAAGACAGGCTTTGAATTTTGTCATTCAAATTAAGTAACAGACATGCTGAAGCTCCAGTAGTAGTCATGGATCCGTACATCTGGGCCTAAGTCCTCCTCCGTGCAAGCACAGATTTGCACCGATGACCTTGGCCTCAAGAGCCAAGTCTCTTAACCACTACAGCCAGGACACGGTGTTCAAAGGCGGAGTCATACCGTTCATGATATCCAGCCCACCCCTGCAAGGCTGTAGTGTCCAACTCGACGCACACCACACTCAACGCCCACGGACACGGCAATTCTCGCACACTTTCCAATCAATACGTAACCCCAATTGGTACTTAGCCCGCTCACTTCTCCGGGATACCTTATGCCATGCACAGAAGGTGACAGTTGGGCGACAGAAGAAATCAGTTGTGGAAAGAAGAGATGGAATGTGGATGGGAGCAACAGGAGGTACGCACAAGGTGAGCAGTTGAAGCAAGATCGTGACATCAGGAGGATAAAAAAGACAGCAGGTCAAGACAGGGCCGAACCAGTGAGTCTTGGTCCTTGGAGGTGAGGAGGGAGAGACGGACTCAACCGCAAAAACATCAAGGCGGGAAGAAGAGAAGGCAAGAACAGGAGGAGCATCACAGATCAATCCAGAGGATTAGGCATAGTTCAAAATCAAGAAGAAAAAACCTTCATGGACAAAGCATAAACAGAGCGTACCTTCAGCCCTGTCTGCACCCGTCGAGCTCAATGCTTTGACACTCAAGGTCTCCAACCGCCAAGCAGAAGCCCGTGCTACTCCACCTTGATCTGAGTTTCGGTAAACCTGCCAAATGGAAATTGATTAGGTACTGTCAAATTCTTGCATCTCATGATGTTGTCTGCCAACAGCGCTCTCTCACACATGTAGTCATGGTGAAGCCAACAGGTCGACAACTTCATACAGGTCTGAGGCCATACTGCTACCGTCTTCGCCCTAATAGAACGCCCGGTCATTATAGCCGTATTTGAGGCATCTTGCTGTCTAGATACAGCTATAATAACCGGGCGTTCTATTTGGGTGAAGACGGTAGGAAGCGAAGCTGGGAGGATTCAGGTTCTTCTCATGCCTTTTTTCAATCTCACAAACTCTTCGGAGGGCAGTTCACCAGCACACACAGGTGAGACGATTACACCACAGACGTAAACATCCAAGCTCCTTGGAGACTGAATCTCACATGAAAAGAACATCCCGCTGCGGGTAGATTTTGATCACAACCCTTCCTTTACTTGCTGTTCAGACAGCCGCTATGCCCATCATCCGCTCAGTGGGTCCACACTAAGTACCTCCTTGTCCCGATCAGGAAAAACTATGATTAACCTTAGGAGGGGATTGCAAAACGTTCAAGCTTTGCCGTTGTACTGAGAAAGTTTCCTTTGCCGTTATTTTCATATTTTCCCATGTGTCACCCATTTAGTGTGCAAAACTCAGTCCTCTTTCACAAATCGTTTCTGCAATTCTGTGCTGAAAATGCTGAAGGAGTTCAATGGGCACAACCGAAACATACATGGACATGACCAGTTTTGGAAACATGGTGTATGGCAAGGATTGGTCCGAAATTTTATCAGGCCTATAGGCTAAGCAGTCTGTCTGTGAGCTTCAGATGCATCGAGGGTTAAGGTGCCAATCCCATAAAAAAGAATTAATGGAATGCGAGTTTCTACAAAAGGGAAAGGTACAATAGTTTGACAACTTACTGGTTTTTGAAACAGACCAGGGCCCAACCGATTGGCACTAACTGTATTTTCCTCGCCGTTTTGCTTGAGCAAGGCCCTGAGTGAGCTGAGGCCCAAAGTGAAGGCCACGGCTCCAACGGAAGGTTGCCCTGTGCCTCGCCAGGTAGTTCGCCTGGGGCCCAATGTCGAGACCCAGACCAGGCCCTACCTAGCCCGGCAGGGATCGGGCTGGTAGGCAGTCTCTACCAGAAGAGAGTCGGAGGCCCAACCGTACAGACAAAAGGAAGGCCGGGGCAAGCAGAGACAGAAGTGCATGCAGCCAGTAAACGCCCATGAGGAGGAAGGCAGCAGAGTGGCAGTTGCCTATCTGCACCTGCCATAGCTAAGGCAGCGCAGAGCTGGGAAAGGGTGGTGAGTGAAGAAGATCAGGGAAAAAGTCCAGTGGGGACTGGCAGATACTTACCTGGTGTTGGCTGAGGAATGCCTCATGTGGTCAGACTCTTGACCGGCATCTGGCCCGAGGGGAGCGGAGGGAGAGTGATCCATACTCGTAATGATCCGAGTGATGCAATGGAGCCAAAGGACCAGCAACGTGATGGTAAGGACTCGAATGGACAATGCAGCATCAGCAAAGCATCAACAAGCAATGTACATCCATGATCCATATGCATACAAAAATGGCACAATGCAGCGCAGTGGAAGACTCAAAGACATGACCTGACCAGTCGGACACTGACTCGACCCACCCCATCAGACACCACACATGTAAGAGAGAAGGGAGGGACCACGTACACAGAAGAAAGGTCCCTCCTTGAACACGCACATGGGG